TAACAGTTGATTAGGCTGAGAACAAGTGCCATGGCTGCATGTTCCTACAGATATCACATTTGAATCATAGAATCATAGAGTAGAATGTGGAATAGACCACAAGGGCCATCGAGTCCAACCCCCTGCCAAGCAGGAAACACCATCAGAGCACTCCTGACATATGGTTGTCAATCCTCTGCTTAAAGACCTCCAAAGAAGGAGAATCCTGCTCTTCTTGTGGGAATTTTCAGGGATGCAGGAGAGGATATATTGACCGATTATATCCTTATCCAACTTGTGTTAACAAGTTCCCAAAATATCAGGAGAGTAAGACATTCCCCTTTATTTAAGTTTGCAATGGCAACGTGTGCTCAGGTTCGCTAGAACCTCTATAATAATTACTCTGGTAATTTCCCCTTTATTCCCTCTTAAAATACAAGACACGACACAGTCCTTTACAAAAGTATAAAAAGAGTTTAATCACATTCTGTTCACAATCGGATCCCAGAAGGCAGACAGCTTAATAAAGTAATATACATTTAGAATCTATCTTATAAGAAGATAGTCCCGTTGTCCTCTCTTGGCTGGGAGCCAAGAGGGCATCTTAGCAGATGTTGCTTCTTCGAAGGAAGAGAAGAGAGAGAGAGATGGCTGCCCCTGCCCTGTGCTTTTGTCATTACCTGCACAGGTGAGGCCACACCCACCTCTAGGCACATGCGGAGGAAGTCTGTACCAGGAAGTTTACCTGCTGGCTGGTCAAACATCCCTCCCCATGTCTAAACATGTACACTCTAGGAATGCTGTAATTGACTGCTCTTGTGTTTTACATCCCACACTTCTGAGGCATCCAAGCTTTTCTGCATATTTGGTTAAGGGATTATGAATGCAACAACAATTATAGCATACTGGCGTACTTTGAACCCCATCTTTTGCTGATATCATATCATGTTCCTGGCTAGAGTCATCTTATGCAAACAGATTATAATATATTAAATGTTTAATGTTAAATAATGTGTCTGTGTTGCCCACGGCTCCCAACAAGCTGCAGCAGTGAAGAGTTTTACTACCTCTATTAGTACATTTGGATGGCTGCCTCTTCGTTTCCTAGTCCCATCGCTCACAAAGGTAAAACAAAAACTCTGAACCAATTTCTGATGGAAAATTATCCATTGTTGAACTGTTGGTGCACATTTCCTGTTTAATGAGAAGTGTTTCAAAGCTTTAGGAAAAGCTATTGTTTTTCTGCAATTTCTTGAACGGCCAGGAGAAAGAAGCATTTCACTTCCAAGGCCAATGCAAAATTTATAGGCTAAACTCCTTTCAGTGACAACATTTCTCAAAGTAATGTGTAGCAGAAGTGAACATTTTTGCCCAAGCATATCCTGTTTAACAAACGCAACACCCGCCTGCTGCTTCTGTAACTCTCTTTAAATAGTAATCCTATTTTAACAGAACTTGTGGTTATGCAAACAAGGTGGGTTTTCCCCAAACCACTCAGTAAATGGGCCTTACTGTCCCAACAGAAAGCAAAACATACTTAGCTGTCATTGCACATATTCTCCCTTTTCCTATTTTCCCTCCAGTAGCCACCAGTGAGATGATGTGGGCGGGGCACTCTTCCTCTCCCAGTACAGAGGCTGACTGGCAAATGTTTAGCAGAAGAGGAATAAGACTCAGGGAGATTGACTGTGTGACAGTGCAGACCCTCCAGGTGTCCCTGTTTTCCAGGGACACTCCCAGATTTACAGAATCCGATTTGATCCAAGAATGTCCTGCTTTTCTTTAAGCCATCCTTATTTTCATCAGAGGTGATGGAGTCATGCGATCCCCAATTCAAGGAGAGAAGTAACTATACAACCTTTAGAAGACATCTGAAGGCAGCCCTGTAAAGGGAAATTTTAAAATGTTTAATGTTTCATCATGGTGTGTGTGTGTGTGTGTGTGTCAGTCAGGATGCTGTCATCGGCTCCCGGCTGGTTGCCCAGGAAAGTATAAAGACAAGGAAAAGTTTCTTACCGTCCTTTTTTATTTCAGTCTTTTCAGAGAGAGGCTATAGAACCCAGCCTCTTGGACAGGCATAGGCAAACTTGGCCCTCCAGATGTTTTGGGACTACAACTCCCATCAGCCCTAGCAGGACCAGTCTATCTGGAGGGCCGAGTTTGCCTATGCCTACTCTTGGATAATGGTGTTGTCCCGAGTGAATCTCCACCCCCTATGTCTTCCACCTCCTCATTCATCATTCTCATCATCTCCTCTATGGGTGCTGGGATGTGCCCTCTGCCTTTGAGTTCTTTGCTCTCCTACTTTTAAGGCTCACCAGGTTCTGGGAGATGGAGGGTCTGGGATGCTTTCTAATGATCTCATGTCAGCGGGGTGTTGTTCTGGCTCTCCCATGATTTTCCCAGCTTTCCCCCTCATCTTCCTCTGAGCTATGACCTCCCTCAAACTCATGTTGTAAATCTATACCGTCTTCCTCTTCCTCCTCCCTGGAAGGGTCAGGATGGGGAGGTGGACTCCACCATTCCTCCTCCATTCCTCCTCTGCCAGTCTCTGACAATATTATATAGATGGATAGATAGATAGATATGATAGATAGATAGATTGATAGATAGATAGATAGATGATAATAGATAGTAGAGATAGATGATAGATAGATAGATAGATAGATAGATTAGATAGATAGATAGATAGATGATAGATAGATAGATAGATAGAAGATGATAGCATAGATAGATAGATAGATAGATAGATAGATAGATAAAGATAGATAGTGATAGATAGAATAGATAAGATAGATAGATGATAGATTAGATAGATAGATAGATAGATAGATAGATAGATAGTGATAGATAGATAGATAGATAGATAGATAGATGATAGATAGATGATAGATAGATGATAGATAGATGATAGATAGATAGATAGATAGATAGATAGATAGATAGATAGATAGATGATAGATAGATAGATAGATGATAGATAGATGATAGATAGATAGATAGATGATAGATAGATAGATGATAGATAGATAGATGATAGATAGATAGATAGATAGATAGATGATAGATAGATAGATAGATAGATAGATGATAGATAGATAGATAGATAGATGATAGATAGATAGATAGATAGATAGATAGATAGAGATAGAGATAGATATAATCAGTCAATGACCAGCAGAGACGATAAGAAGAAAACAAAACACATAAAATACAATAAAATACATTGAGTATACTATTACATGTGGCGATTAAAAACAATGTAAAATATTTTAGAAAAAAATAAGAGATATAAAACAGTTATTAAAATGGTAAAAAGACAAGGTAAGGTGTTAAAAATTCTAAACTTAATACATGATCCTCCACCGACAAACTATTGCTGCTGCACAAAACTAGCTACCTTGGCAGTGATCTAGTATTCAAACCTAAGAATGTGTACCATGTTTCATTCCAATAACACAGTCTTTAATAAATATATCACACTGCAAAATAAACAAACTGAGAAGCAAAGTTATTGTTGAATGGGGCAGTTAAGATAAAGGCTTCACTTTGCTTCACTGATGTTGTTGTACTGTATTTGCTAATTCTTCCAAAAAAACCCAAAAATAGACTAATAATAATAATAATAATAATAATAATAAACCCCCAAAACCTGGACATTTCATGTAAAATGCAAAAATCCACCTGGGCAGGCGAAACCTGGACATATGGCAACCCTATCATAAGGAATAATTGTTTTGGATCTACCATTAAACTGAATGGGCTCAAGGAGCTGGGGATTTTATAGGAGTGTATCTGTGCAGTTCAAAAGCACGTCAAAGTGCAAGTAGATGCAGTAAAATGGCGGGAAGGTAAACGGCATTTCCATGCGCTGCTCTGGTTCGCCAGAAGTGGCCTAGTCATGCTGGCCACATGACCCGGAAGCTGTACACTGGCTCCCTCGGCCAATAAAGTGAGATGAGTGTTGCAACCCCATAGTTGGTCACGACTGGACCTAATGGTCAGGGGTCCCTTTACCTTTACCTGTGATTTAGGCTGCAGTGGCAAGTAACGCAGTGGGACTGTGCACTTACGTGACCACCCTGCAGCTGAGTCAATGCTGCTACTGGGATGCTGCTGGGATGGAGAGCAGTGTGGTGTGACAGCGGTGAGGTCAGTGCGGTGCAATCGCACGGGCAGCGCATTCGCACCACGCTGACCATTCCACTACCTCTTATTTCCATTGCATCCTGGTATCCACCAGCAACTCAGCAAGAGGAAGATCAAGTAAGTGGTGTAGCCCCACTGAATTCCATATCCGTGTAACTGGGAGCAAGCCTTGATGAACTTAATGGGAGTCCCTTCTGAGTAGATAATGTAAAAGATTGGTACTGTTATGAGATCTCTGTTTCTCTCTCTGATCGGATTCATTACGTTTCATGAGATCTAAAAATATATCCTCTTCTTGTAGCAGATGGCTGAAAGGTTGCACATTTATATTCAGAGATTCCTGCTCATCCACGAGCATCTCAATATGATTTATGAACTAAACTTGGCATTCTGTGCCTCTCAAGAATTTATCTGCTTGCAGTTCTAGGAACAGATTGGAAAACTGGATATCATTCATTTTGTCTCTCTGCAATACTTCTTCAAGAAGGAGAAAAAACTGTTGCGTGCTGAGGTCCCCCAAATCATCCCTACCCCAATAACTCACACATCACACATAATTTTTGTTTAAGGTTTTTGGCATAATTTTGGCCACAACTTTTATTATCATACAAAATTGTGAGTGGTTGCGTAGGCATTGGTTATGACTAGCTATCCCCCCCGCCTTGGGGGATAGCACTGACTCCCGGATTCCAGCGTAAGTCAGTGTGGAGGAACAAGCAGGGCAACTGGGGCTGCGTTACAGACCCTTCAGTTCCTCCCTGCCTGCGCCTTGGGGTCTTACGCGGCCCGCACCCGATTCCAGGGGTTTGGACAAGGGGATGGTAAGCCCCAGAATTCCTTTAACGGAATTCCCATTCCGCAGCAGCATTGGAGGGGTAGGCACAGCCAATCCATACCCCTCCACCAACCAATTTAACCAATGCCTAACCGCCACCCGAGCCCTTATGCTCGCCGCCAACCACTCACAAAGCAAACCACACCCTCAACTTGGACACCACTGCATCCAACCAAACATCATTCCCAAACGTGGAAAGATGAACCCCATCATCCCTGTATAAGACCTCCTCCTTAAAGGAAATACGAGGGTGAGGAATCACCAATCCGCCCAAGCTCACCACCAACTTGCCCACCGCGGAATTAATCCGCTTCCTAACTTTTTCAGTGGACGCTGGGCAAGGACTGCCCCGCCAAATGTGGCGCTGAAGCAACTGTGACCAAATCAATTTTGTATTAGGCACCATGGCCGCCAGCTCCCTTAGGTCCTGTAAAATAACAGTACGCAGCGTATAGCAAGGAAAAGAAACCATATCATTTTCCCCGAGCTGCACCACAATCGCCGAAGGTGGGCCAATCAGGAGGACACGCCTTTTCATGAGTGGCAAGAATTCCCTCCAACGCATCCCCCTTCTGGAGATCCAGGACACCTGCACGTGCTGTGGAAGGCCCAGGCCATCTCCCAATCCAGACTGACGAGCTCTGTCAGCGGCCCAATGCACAATACTGTGGCCCACTATCCAGATACGGATAGTGCCCGGACCTAGGGTTAAAACAAAAATGTAAGTACACAACCACATTATTTCCTCACATACGTTTTGAAAGCATCCGATCTCCACCGACCCAAGTCCTTTATCCTCTTCACGGATAAACCCCAATGGGCAGCTGTCGTTGCAGCACCTATCCGGAAGGAGTGAGGAGCGAACTCCGAAGCCTCAAGCCCACACGCTGCAATGGCTTTACGCATCACCTTAGTGAATTGATGCCGTACTAATGGGCGCCCATCTTCATGAATAAACAGGGGCCCTTCACCCACAGGTCGCAAGGCCAGGTACCGCTTAAGGCCCCTTACCGGACAAGGGCCACCTTCCCCCGACGCCGGGAGCCTGATAACTGCTCCCCTACCCAACTGATCCGTCTTAGAGTTTCTGATATTAATTTGCAAGTCAGACGGAGACATACTCACGTCCTGCAACAACAAGCCCCTGGAACCTCCATCCCGCTTAGGCTCAAGGACCACCTCTCCTACTCTCAGGGCCCCAAAGAAAGCCAATGAGAAAGCTGCAGAAAACAAACGAGCCTCGAATTTAGACCAACAGATGCTAGGCAATTTAGTATGCATCTGTGCCAGCAACTCCAATGTGATAGGCCGTCTGGGGATAGGCTTAGAGGGAGTGAGACGCCCCCAACCTTCCAAAGCTCTGCGCACCACGAACTTCCCACACGGATCCTTGTTAAAAATTGCCCTGCTAAAAAAGGAAATCGCTGCCGAATGAAGTCGCAGCGTCCTGGCCGCCCGGCGCATCTGGAATAGATGTGCCAAATACTTGAGCACCTGAGAGGAAGAATGGGGGGGAGTGACCTCACCAACCGTCTGTCCATTAAATAATAAAAAATCTGCCCAGGCCTTTTTGTAAGACCTCAAAGTAGAGGGGGCAACAGATGCAGCTACTCCCTGTAAAACTAAGTGCTGCCAAGGTTCCAGAGATGATCCGGGAAAATTTCCGGACGGTCTCGAGCCACTGGCGCCAGGGATCTGAATCGCTCCATCTGAAAACGGGACAGAGCATCAGCAATCTCGTTAGATAAGCCCGGAACAAAACGGGCAGAAAATACAATATTAAAACGCAAACAATGTAAAACAAAAACCCGTAGCAGGGCCGATACCCTAGGCGAACGTGAAGACTGCTTGGCTAGTATCTTCACCACCGCTTGGTTATCGGACCAAAAACAAACTCGATGGTCCTTGAATTGTTCAACCCACAAGTGCACGGCCACTACAATGGGAAAAAACTCAAGAAAAGTTAAATCCCGGATTATAGCTTCCCCACGCCAAGCGGGAGGCCACCGCTCTGCACACCATCTGCCATCCCAGAACAGCCCAAAACCAAGGGACCCCGCTGCATCCGAGTGCACCTGGAAGTCATTGTGGAGGTTCAGAACGTCCTGCCACAAAGACACACCATTGAATTCCTGCAGGAATTCCAACCAAATACTGAGGTCAGCACGCACATGGCCAGACAGGCGCACCCTATGCTGCGGGGCCTGTAAACCTGATGTGAGTCTAGCCAAGCGGGAGCAGAATGGTCGCCCAGGGGCGACCACCCTGCAAGCGAAATTCAAATGACCTAACAACGACTGCAGCTGATGGAGGGTGACCTTCTTCAAGGGAATCAACTCCTCAATGACCTGTCTCAAGGCAATTATCTTATCCACCAGCAAACTGGAGGTCTGGGCCACGGTATCCAACAAGATACCCAAGTAAGTAAGCTGCGTGGAGGGACCCTCGGTCTTCTCTGCTGCCAACGGGACCCCCAGCTCTTCCGTTAAGGAAGCAAATGCCTGCAACAAAACAACGCAGTCCCCTGTATCACTCGCAGAGGCCACCAAAAAATCATCGAGATAATGAGTGACCCCCTCCAGGCCAGTTTTATTACGCAAGGCCCATTCGAGAAAGGAACTGAAACACTCAAAAGCTGCACAGGCCACAGAGCAGCCCATAGGCATGGCCTTATCAAAATAAAATTCTCCCTCAAACTGAAAACCTAGCAACCAGAAATCATCCGGATGGATCGGAAGTAGCCGAAATGCCGATTCAATATCGCATTTTGCTAGAAGGGCACCAGGCCCAAACTTCCGTATCATCTTGATCGCATGATCAAGAGAAGCATAACGTACTGAACAAAGCTCCGGGGGAATCACGTCATTTACTGACGTGCCTCTAGGGTGAGAAAGATTATGAATGAGGCGAAATTCCCCCGGGGCTTTCTTGGGAACTATACGCAAGGGTGACACATGCAAATTGGGAAAAGGGGGGGGCCAAAAAAGGACCGGCCATACGATGCAAAGCCAGTTCTTTTTTTATCTTCTTCCGCGCCACCTCTGGCATGTCTTTAACAGATTTCTGGTTAACCAATTTCCCAGCTACCAGGGTCGATGCCACCGGAATCCTGAACCCTAAAGAGAAACCCTCACGCAAATAGGACGCCACTACCTTATCCGGATATGATTCCAACAAGGACAACAACGGCTGCAGCCTCACCGGGGTGTAGGCTAAGGAGGACAGGGTGCTATTTTCCGGCTCCAGTGACCGGCGCTTGGGGGGCGGCTTTTGGGGGCTGCTGAGAGCCCCCACCCTTGCGAAAGGGTCGCCGTGCCCCTGTACACACAGACGCTGAGTGGCTCCCAGAGCACTTCTCACAAAGGTGTGAGTACCTGCAGGGTTGCCGCTGGCAGACACCCTTGTTGAAATCCCAACAATATAAACGGCGACCCGCCCTTTGAGGGAGGGCCTTAAACTTCTGCTGATCAGGGGCCTTCTTATCGATGCGAGGAGCAACGTAAGTGGTCCAGACATCTAAGTCTTTTCGATCCCAGCGGGCCGTAGGGATCTTGGCTGCTCTACGCCTAAAATTCTGATCATAAGCCAACGCAGCGGTCTCTCCGGCCATCGTAAAGGCCGAGCGGACTATGGACAAGTAGACCCATAAATGCAAAGACCTCCTAGGATAGGCTGCGGAAACTACTCCAGCGAAAACTTGAAAACTATCCAACCAGCGTTCGAAAGTCCTATCCGCTTTGGCTATAGTTGCCCCCTTTTTAGGGGCAGCATAGCCCTTGTCTAAATGCTCTTGACCATCAAGTGGAGGGGCTAAGCTAAAAATATCAACATAACGACCATCCAGAATCCTGGACCGCAATTTGGCAGACAGATGGGCACCAGGAATAAGGTCCCTGGCCGAATTGGTGGAGACTTTAACGTCAGGCAACAAGACCCCTTCCTGACAGTCTTGCACCGCCCCGTACTTTGCCCGGTGGGAATTCGCCCTACGCTCCCAAACCCACTTAGGGAGCCCAGAGGTCTCACCAAAGCCCCAGTAAAGCTTCAGGGAAGCTTCCTCGTCACTGCTTGAGCTCTGGGAAGAATTACCTGTAGAAGAAGACGAAGTGTCCTTACGTCTCCGCTTGGAGCGCCTCCTGGAGCTCCTTTTGTGGCGGCGGTGCCCACCGGAAGAGGCCCTTGGAGGAAGAGGGAGGCTGTCCTCAACAGAAGACTCCGAAACATCGCCTTGTTGCACAGAGCCTGGAACTGACTGAAAAGAGACAACCTGTGACTGACCTGGAATCACATTCCCCGCAACTGAAGACTGCGCAGGCGAACCCCGCACAACGTGGCCCCGAGTTGGTGCCCTACTCCTGGCCCCCACTCTGGTTCGACCCCGACCCCTAGGGACAGCAACCTGCGATACAGGTAAGACCGGGGACCGGGCCGGTAGCGGGTCAGGTAAGAAAACCCCGGCTGACAATGGATCTCTCTCCTCTTCACTAGATGATGACACTGGAGAAGCCGCCACCGCCGAAGGAGCTGGTCGCGCAGAGGAGGTCGACGGAGTTGAGCAACGTTGCATCAAGCCTTCCATCTCAGCCTCGACCCGTGCCAGCGCAGCTGGATCACCCACCAAACCAGAGACCATGGATTGAAGGCGTTTCACCGACTGGGTAGGCCCAGGTGAACGTAACGCCTGGGATGGGCCTTTTATAGGCCGCTTTGTAGCAGGTGCAGGATCAGGCCTCCTAATTGCTTTCTTTGGAGCCATTCCTACTATTGGTGGGAAAACAAAGAAAATATTCAAATCAGCAGGCAATATAAATAGCTGCGAAATAAAACCAAATCAACAAAATAATTAAGTAAATAGTTAATCAGCAGGCAAGCAACAACTGTAAACTCAACCACTAATTATTTAAATTAGGTTGGGAACAATAAAGTTGGCTAAATAAATAGCCGCACCAGCAATGTAAAGCAGGTAGTTAAACGACCCCGCAATTACCCACACGGCCACTAGAGGCCACCACCTGAGTTTTAATTAAGGCTGCACTTGCCTAGCACGGCCACCAGAGGCCCCCACTCGGTCAGGCCAAGCCTGCTATACACGTTCTAGCCACTAGAGGCCCCCACGTGCCCGACAAAGAAAGGCAAAATGGCGCTCCCGCCAATTTGCCTCAAAATGGAGGGGCCGCCAGCCACCCAACCAACAGCACCCCAAGCCCCAGAGGCGAGAGGGGGCTGAAATTAGTGCCTGAAGCGCTGAAGGGGCAAACCGGCCTGCCAATGGGCCCGCGCGCCGCGCCTCTGGCCCCGCTAAAGCAAGATCACGGCGGCAGCGCGACACCTGCAAACCCAGAGGCGCCGCAACCGCAGCGCCGGAGAAGAGGCCCGGGAGGCCCACCCAGGACAAGGTAGGCCACCCTGCTCCCCGTCCCCAGTCCCCACGCGCCCGCTGGGGGAAGGGGTCCCGGCGGTCGCACCGCCGCCGCGCCGCGGCCTCGGCTGGGTGCCCGCAGGCGGGCCGGCGGGCCTACGGGAGTGGAATCAACCCCGCTCCCCCGGTGAGAAGGGCCAAAGGGCGCCCGTGGCCTCCGGAGGCCGCCCGGCCGGCACCCGCGGGGCTAGGAACACGGGGGGGGGTGCGGAAACCAATAAGGCCCCCAGTAAGCCCGTCGAGGCTGCAACGATCCCCTGGGCCTCAGGCCCCGTGCAGAAGGCAGGCACCAGGTATTAGCGCTGCTACCGCGAGGCCGGGAAGAAGGCCTAGAGCCTGGCCCAGCCTTCAAGCTCGGCCGAGAATCGGGCCGTAAGCTGGCCGGGACCAGAAACCCCCCCACCCCCACCAAAGCGGCCAGAAACCAAATCACCAGGAATAAGAGAGGTAGCAGAAAGGCAAGGAGAACTAAAAGAATAAAAGCAATAACTAGCAAGGGAAGGAATAACGATAGAAGGGAAGAAAGAAAGGCAACACAAAAGGCGAAAGTTATACAACCAATCTCCCGCTGCAATCACTCCGGTGCTGATCCGGTGTCCACAGCGAAAGAGAAAGGAACAAGCTGTGGACCCAGTATAAATAACCTCTGACTCCACCCCTTAATTGGCAACATCAAATTTACCCCAGTAACAACAGTCTCCAATCAATTCAAATCCCTTGCAACAGCCTGGCTGGCAACTGAGGATGTTTTGTCTGGCCCCATCCGCAACACGTGCTCTCTCTTTAATGAGAACACGCTTTGCTACAAGATTTAAAGCCTTCAGTAAACCAAGCGCTTTTGCTTCTGGAAACGGACATCATTGAACATTTAACTAGAGAAGGATTCCAATGAAACCATTGTCTGAGTATGAAACTGTAGTTCAAGGAAATGACATAAATATTTATTTATTAAATTTATATCCCACCCTTCCTCCTCATTTATGGAAAGCCCAATGAGTACAAATACATCTCTGGGTGGATATTACTGGGGCTTAAAAAACCCCACGATCTTCTGAATGATGGCTGCTAATACTCTTTCAGCCGTTGCAGATATCAATGGTAGACAACTGAGCGGTTGAGCTCTTTACATGCTAGCTGCTTAGTGGATGAAATAAATAGGTTCAATAAGGTTCTTGATAATGTAAACTCATTTGTATTACAGTGGTACCTTGGTTCTCAACACCTTGGTTCCCAAATGCCAAATACCTGGGAGTGTTCTGGTTTTCAAATGTTTTTCGAAAGCCGAATGTCTGATGTGGATGTCAGCTATTGTTTCCGGGGCCCCTACACCAATCAGAAGCTGCACCTTGGTTTTCAAAGATTTCAGAAGTCAAACGGACTTCCGGAATGGATTAAGTTTGGCACTTTTGTTTTTGCAATTTATTTTGTGTGGGGTTTTTTTGTTGTTGTTTTTTGAGGCATTTTTTGGTTAATTTGTTTTTGTGACTTTGTGGATGATAATTTTTGTCATCTACAATACTGTCTTATTTATTTTATAGTACAGCACATTGATTATTGCTTTCATTTTATGGATCAACGGTCTCGTTATATAGTAAAATTCATGTTAAATGTTTTAGGGGTTGTTTTTAAAAGTCTGGAACGGATTAATCTGTTTTGCATTACTTTCTATGGGAAAGCACACCTTGGTTTTGGAACGCTTTGGTTTTGGAATGAACTTTCAGAATGGATTAAGTTTGAGAACAAAGGTACCACTGTACTTGGAACACTGTGACACTGATCTGTTATATTTGATTTTGATATGTAAATTTGTCTTGCTGTGCTTAGTCCTTCATATTTACCTTTTTAGCATTTGTTAAGCTAAATATTTTTGTTATGTTCTGTTTCAATAAAAATTAAAAGGCAATATTTTAAAAAAGAAAAAAAGGAAAGGAAATCTTAGGGCAGTAGAGGGGCACTGACAACATTGTGGATCCAGGCAGAGGAGTCTTCTGTTGCATGTCATTAATTGTATTTATATACAGATATTCAAGGTTACTGAAGATAATACAAAATAACACTGGAAGGAAAATAAGTAAACACGTGCAGATCCAAATCTGTTGCCAATTTTTATGAATTCATTTGTCCCCTGCAAAAGTTAGAAGAGAGTTTCTGCTGGGGTTTTTTTTGGGGGGGAGAATGTTATTGTAATGCAATATAATTCATTTATTCTTTCACCACCACCTAGGTTGAAAGGCATCCACTCTAGAAGGAGTGCTGAAACATGCCTGTGAATTTAGATTAATTGGCTAACTAATACCACAGTCAGCGATAAAGGAGGGGAGAGAAATATTACCTCATTAGTTCAAACAAATGGCCCTTCTTGCTAACTTCACGCAGAATGCCATATTTAAAATGTCAGACAAGCACAATATCAGCATCACTCAATTGCAGACCCCAAGATAAACCATGTGGAACCTCACTGAGTAATGAATTTTAGAATCACCCTTGACAGCAAGGTCCATAACTGTGTTGACCTCACTAAAAATAAATTAGAAGGTAATAGCTCCTCTTCATGGTGAATTTTGCATTGCAAATGGATATTGTCCTCCAGAAGCCTCATTCAGATTGTTTCTCAAAGAGATTTCAAATGTGCTGTCATGCCATAATAAAGCACTTGGCAAGGTTTAACAGGCACTGATACCAACCAGGAATAATATTTTTAAAATCTGTTTTTATCCTAGTTTCGAGAATGCCTTTTACCTGTTGCTCAACCTATTGTTCTACATTACTACGGTCAAAGATCCTAAATAAAAGTAGACTTCATTTTAGCCTCTCTCCAAACATACAAATCAACATTCTTAACCTATAATTTCATTTACGCTTTAGGTACAGAACGGTGGAAACACAAACAGAAAATAACAAGTATGGAAATAATTACAACAGTGAATAGAGTAACAACAGTATGAAACTCCTCAGTTTTACTTGCAACAAGTTTATTGGCGGGTGGCGCTGTGGGTTAAACCACAGAGCCTAGGGCTTGCCGATCAGAAGGTCGGTGGTTCAAATCCCCGCAATGGGATGAGCTCCTGTTGCTCGGTCCCTGCTCCTGCCCACCTAGCACTTCTCACAGTGAGGGAACCGCCAGAAGGCCCTCGGAGCTGGACCTCATTGTCCGGGCTGAATGATGGAGGTGGAGATGTTCCTTCAGCTATACTGGGCCAAGGCTGTTTAGGGCATTAAAGGTCAGCATCAACACTTTGAATTGTGCTCGGAAATGTGCTGGGAGCCAGTGTTTGTACTGAGAGGTCTGTGCTCTCCAGAGTCAGCGATCTAAGATGTTGAGTCCATAGATATACACATAACCAAGTATTGTCAAACACCACCGCAATCTCCCAATCTCCGAGCAACGTGAAATTCCTGGGGTTCCAGGCACTTACCCAGGGTTCAGTTTCCTTTGGAATGAGGAGCAGCAGAGACTGTAGTGTCTTTATGATGTATGGTTTATTTACACATATATACAACCTGAGCCTACGATAGAGGGGTTCACAGCATTAACACCCCAGGAGGGCCCTGCTTACTCCCATAGCCACAGCTTTGGATTTCAACAGAAATTAGGCATAGTTCTGGCTCCTGGCTGCCCAGCCTGCAGCCTGCCAGCTTCTAGCTTCTAGCTCACATTACTCAACTCTGAGTTCTGGCCTTTGTCTTTCTAACTTCCGGCCAGTAGAGGGATGGAGACCCACCCACTGGCGGAGGAAGGGGAGTTCGGGGGGAGTGCATCGCCCCCAGCAGCGCGATCCTGGTGGGGTGCCATTATGGCTGCTCCCCACCCTCGTTGGGCACCATGCCCCCGCAGGCATACAGTCTACCCGCCCTCTGCAAACTCATAGTAGTATGGTAGAGGATGGATGAAGTTAACAAAGTGAGAATTCAAGAACAGGAATTCTATTAACACTTAGGATAGTTGGTGAGCTGTAAATCCAATGGAAGGTAATTACATTTTACTGAGAGAGAACCACTTATATTGCTTATTCAAGCCTGAAGAATGTGTCACATATGCCTATGAAATCTATTGAGCTATTTTATTTTATTTTATTGGATTTTTGTTGTTCAAATATAGCAACTTTTAAAGTCAGAGACAAAATTCCCAAGGAAACAGAGATGGTGCCTCACAGGTATCTTCTACGTTTTAGTTGTGGCTGGCAATACACATTTCACCACTTTCCATTTTAAACCATCGTTAATACGCATACATTTTCCATTTCTGTCTCAATTAAATCAATTATACTTAACAGAACCTGTGCCTTCAGGGGAAGTGTAACTTCAACCGACCAGTTTCTTGGACACAGGAAATTTCTTTTGCTAGTTTTCCCTGTATCTATATGGCTTTGTTTTTGTTTTGTGTTCAATGGGAGCACATTCTCCATTCACACCTATGATTCACCTCCTGAGTCAGGCTAGGAAAAAATGGATTATGTGATTGTATTGTATACAGAGCGGCACTCACCAGACATGCCAAACCTTCTTTCACACCCTATTTTGCTTGCCTTTTCAATTGCAATTTGGCATCTCAAGTCCCATCAATCAGGTTGCTTAATGAGGTACTGCAGGCAGCTGTATTTGTCAGCCCAGAGGCTAATGCACAATGTGCTTGTTCCAAAGAGGTTTTCTATTTCATGCATATGATGAAGTAGGCTATTACCTACAAAGTTCATTCCGAAAGCTCAGGCTCCAAATGTATTAACATTTGCAGTCCAACGGCACGGTAGACGTTAGTGTTACAGAATCTACAGGTTCTTTCCTGTTGCAGAATCTATACATATATCTTAACTCTAATCATGCAAAATATGTAATGGCCAACGTGAAGAGGAATTGCAGGCTGGGAGAGGTAGATTATAAGTACACATTTCCACAGCCAACGAAAATAACATTGCAGTCTAGATAACCCATCGGTCATGAGAGTTTACTTCACTAGATAACCCATTGGTCATGAAATTTTACTTTA